AAAAAGAGCATTACATTTGCAGGGGAGGGTATAGCTGTAGAACGTGAACCTAGCATGCACAAGGTCCTGGGTTCAATTCCTTGTACTTCCAGAAAAATAAATAAATACCTAATTACCTTCTTCCAAAACAAAAAAAAGTTTTTTTAAAAGCAAAACAAAGTTCAAAAAAATGCTAGATACACTGCCTCATTAACCCCCACAGAAAGACCTAATGCTATCCATATCTTACAGATAAGGAAACTGAGACAGCGAGGTTATTTAACTTCCTTAAGGTCATTCAGGTTCTAAGTGCAGAACCAAGATTCTAACCCAAGTAGTCTGCCTTCAAAGCCCATGCTCTTAATAACCACTCTAGGCTAATCTTTCCTATTAGTGGCCAAAGTCCAGAACTCAGTGCATTTTCATCACTACACCATTTCACCTCCCTTCCTCAAACAGTACTTTATAAGACAGGATGTAATAGTATAACTCTGCAGTAACTGTCAGTATTACCGATACACAAACATTTGACCTATCGCTTTTACTTATAGAAATTTGTAGTACAGACATATTAATGCACATTTGAAATGTTGACATGTTTATTCAAGGATATCCATTGTTTGTAATCAGATAATTAAGTATCATCTGTAATAGCCAAGGACTGGAAACAAACATATCTATCAATAGGGTATATCAATAAAAGAAATACTGACACATTCTACAAAATGAATGCATCTTGAAAACATACTAAGTGAAATAAGCCAGACACAAAAAGCCACATACCGTATGATTCCATTCACATGAAAGTTTAGCACAGGTAAATCCATAGAAACAGAGAGAAGATTGATCAGCAGCAGGAGAGGGGGAAATGAGGACAGGATTGCTAATAAGTAAAGGATTCATTTGGGGGCGATGAGAATATTCTGGAATTATGTATAATGATAGTTATACAACTTTGTGAATGTACTAAAAACCACTGGATTATACACTTTAAAAGGATGGAATTTATGACACATGAATTATACCTGAATTTTAAAAAAAGGGGGGGAATCTAGACATTCCCTGAGGACAGAGATTCCAAGCAGCAGAGAGACTCCCATCGCTGGCTTTGAAGAAATAAGCTGCCATAAATTCACAGCTGCCAACAACTTGAGAGAGCTTTAGAAGCAAATTCGTTCCTGG